AAACAATAATAATGTTGAACAGCTGAACCAGAATCAATGTCCGAATCCCACTTCTACTGCAGGCACAAGATGAGGTCCACCATAGCCATGGCAGCCCTTCTTCTTCCTCCACATACAGGCCGAGGCTATGGCGGACAACCGAGGCTTCAGCCTCCGGTACCAAAGACAACCCCAAGCAGCTATACCGCTGCCCCACTTCAAGGTCATCACCCAGCAGCTATRCCGCTGCTCACTCAACCGCCATGCCTGACTCTGTCCGAGCTTCCTTGATGGGGCACTACCCCCACTGGGGCCTTCCTGATGCAGCGCCTAGCAAGGCGATGAAGATGGTGTCTACCATAGCCAGGTAAGTACCCTACCACTCTCCTCCTTGGTCCCCTTCTCCCTCCTCCTCCTACCGGCTGAGCTCCACCATAGCCAAGGTGGAAGCTCCCGGMTTCTTCCTCCCAGCAGCGCTGTAGAGCCCAGCGCTCCTCCACCTAGCGGTCCAGCAGCGTGAYGCCCAACTCGCACACTGAAGAATGAGGCGGAGCTCTTCCCTCCGCCTCTAGATATAGCGGCCTGCTTGCCTCTTGGGCCGTGACTTCCAGGCCGCTCGGCCTCTCCAAGCAACCGGTACCTCCTCCGTTTCGGAGGGAAACATCATTGCAGGCCCTGATGTTACCCGTACAGGCTCTAGACTCAGACTGGTTGGACTGGTACCGGCCTAGACCTACCCTACCGCTACTGGACTCTAAAAATGCCAACTTTGTCTTTTTCTGCTCGGCCTCCGGTACCTCTCACGTCAACTGCAGTGGGGTGCAGTATCGGCCTACCGGCCTACTTGAGTGTTTTTCCGCTACCCCAAGGGCCTCAGGGCCGCTAGCTTCGCCACTTGAGTGTTTTCCCTGCTACAAYCCTCAATGCCACGGCCACAGGTAAGTACCGGCCCTACGGGCCTACCAAACCAGCAAGTACCCTTGCGGGTCCCACACACACTCGTACCGACAACCACTCAGACAGGCATGCAGGTCACAAGCACACACACACAGACAAACTTAGAAAACACAGTAGAATGCGGGAATCTCATCAAGGCATCCATTCCATCGGCAGGACTTTAGAAAGTAGCAGTGTTCTCAGTCTGTGTTATGACGGGTCATTACGCTACCCCCCCCTCAAGAGTGAGGTCCCTTCGAGCGAGTAACTCAATCAGAGTCCTTGCATAGTGCATCATAGGTGTAGATAACAAAGAGAGATCGGGCGTGTTCCGTAGGAGTCAGGGTAGCAGTAAACGTCAGCACTTATCAATCGCTCATAGGCATTAACGACACGCGGTGCACTCTGCAGTAAGTCTTTCCTAGCAATCCAATAGAAATCGTCCAATGGATGGTACAGAAAATGAACTTTGTACTGTCTGTTTCTTCCCTTCCCACTGTGTTGGACAATCCTATCAACCTCATGGCCACCATTGATTGCGCGGGGAATCATTGACTCTCGGTACTTGAACATTTCAGGTGGTTCATATGGAAACAATTTTGACGCATGAAAAACTGGGTATGTGCGCAAATGTGCAGGCACATCAATCGTGTAGGAAGGACCGAAGGAATCACTCCCTACCTGGTTAAAGACCTGCCACGGACCGTAGTACTGAGGAAGAAGCTTTCGTGAGACACCTTCTTCTTTAGAAAACTCATACATTTTGACCCAGACATAACTTCCCACTGTCAATGGTGCAGGCTGACGCTTCTTGTTAGCATGTTTAATCATGGCCCTGCGTCGCCTCTCCATAGTTGCGACAACAACTTTGAGTAGGCGATCGAACTTGGCGCTGTAGCCTGGCTGGCCAGGTGTTAGGCCAGGTGGCTGATCCGGAAACAGATAAGATAGAGGATTGCGGATTTTCCATCCAAGATGCAGYCGGTTAGGMGTCATCCCGGTGGAGGAGTGGATGGAGTTGTTGTACAACCCCTGCACAATCGGCAACTCCTCATCCCAAGAGTTCTGATCAGGTACAATTAGAGCCCTGAGAAGCTGGATCACGGTCTGGTTGATTTCCTCCGCCAGTCCATTGGCTTCGGGGTGTCGCCCAGACGTCATCTTGAGTTTCATGTCATAGGTCTGGGAGGTGAAATATTTCCAATCTGCGCTTATGAACCTGGTGTCTCGATCACTCACGAGAGTTTTCGGGGGGCCATAATGTAGCACGTACCTTTTGTTGAACTCATCGATCACAAGGTCAGTTGGGGCGTGAGGTGGCAAGGGAATCGGATTTAGAAATTTCGAAAACCGATCAACGATCACCATCACTTGCGAATAACCGTTTCTGCTCTTCTTCCCCATGTCTATGAAGTCAATGGAAACAGACTCACCCGGGCCATCAGGGATAGGAAGATGGTGCAGCAGGCCATAGGGTTTCTGCCAAGACGGTTTAATGCGCTGACAAACTTCACACTCAGCCACAAATCTTTGTGTCATTCTTTTCATTCCAGGCCACACAAACCTTTCCAACAGAATCCCGTATGTCTTCTCAACACCGAAGTGTCCACTCCGGCCATGAGCCAAATCCAAGAAGTGAGTGATGATTGGCTCATGGTTGGGTACACACAACCGGTCATGCTTAYTGTAGCATCGGAAGAGAAGGCCCTTACATTCATGGAAATCAGGCTGACTACTAGGGTCAACCCGAATCTGCTGAAGGATGAGACTGAGTTCCGGATCCTTGGCAGTGTGCTCAATGAGTTCCTTTTGTAAGTCCTTGCGAAGATCGTAGGAACCCACTAGGCAAGTCATGTACTNATTCTTTTATTTATTTATTATTATTGCTTATTTCTTTAATTTTATTTAATTATTTAGTATTCTATCGTACTCTCTCTAATTGCTGAAGAGCGCTGTGTGACTACGGGGCTCAACAGATCTTGAGCTCGATTGGCCCCTTTGCGGTTGGCTGAGCAGTCCGCGACCGACCAGCTAGCCGACATGGCCAACTAAAGTCTTTGTCTAGCGAGAATCGAGAGAGAGAGTGAGAGAGAGGGAGAGAGAGAGAGAGAAACCTGATCCCTCGCCTGTCGACTGGGAAAGTTTGCTGGTCTGAAATTTGATTGGCTCATCAGTTTACTGTAAACTTGTTGATATGAGAAACCAGTCACTCGTCAGACATCAGAGAAGATTCGGTAGTCTACCATCTGATTGGTTGGTCTACAATATGATTGGATTATCAGTTTACCGTAAGACTTGATGATGTGTGAACCCGGTCCACTCGCCGGTCAACTGTGAGGGATCGTTGCTTAACAATTTCGTTGATTTATCCGCTTTATTGTAAAAACAATTGTCCTACGCAACCTTCTCTAATCACCTGCCGACTAACAAGGTGCGCGACAGGGCACACGAGAGACAAACCCTACTGGTCGCCGAGGACCTCGGAAGCGGGCGCGGCGAAGTGACAGGCGTCGTAGCCCATGGCTTCAGCGAATAGTAGGTAGCCCCTCCCCGGGTTATCTCCCAACACCGTAGTACTGAGGAAGAAGCTTTCGTGAGACACCTTCTTTTTTAGAAAACTCATACATTTTGACCCAGACATAACTTCCCACTGTGAATGGTGCAGGCTGGCGCTTCTTGTTAGCATGTTTAATCATGGCCCTGCGTCGCCTCTCCATAGTTGCGACAACAACTTTGAGTAGGCGATCGAACTTGGCGCTGTAGCCTGGCTGGCCAGGTGTTAGGCCAGGTGGCTGATCCGGAAACAGATAAGATAGAGGATTGCGGATTTTCCATCCAAGATGCAGTCGGTTAGGAGTCATCCCGGTGGAGGAGTGGATGGAGTTGTTGTACAACCCCTGCACAATCGGCAACTCCTCATCCCAAGAGTTCTGATCAGGTACAATTAGAGCCCTGAGAAGCTGGATCACGGTCTGGTTGATTTCCTCCGCCAGTCCATTGGCTTCGGGGTGTCGCCCAGACGTCATCTTGAGTTTCATGTCATAGGTCTGGGAGGTGAAATATTTCCAATCTGCGCTTATGAACCTGGTGTCTCGATCACTCACGAGAGTTTTCGGGGGGCCATAATGTAGCACGTACCTTTTGTTGAACTCATCGATCACAAGGTCAGTTGGGGCGTGAGGTGGCAAGGGAATCAGATTTAGAAATTTCGAAAACCGATCAACGATCACCATCACTTGCGAATAACCGTTTCTGCTCTTCTTCCCCATGTTTATGAAGTCAATGGAAACAGACTCACCCGGGCCATCAGGGATAGGAAGATGGTGCAGCAGGCCATAGGGCTTCTGCCGAGACGGTTTAATGCGCTGACAAACTTCACACTCAGCCACAAATCTTTGTGTCATTCTTTTCATTCCAGGCCACACAAACCTTTCCAACAGAATCCCGTATGTCTTCTCAACACCGAAGTGTCCACTCCGGCCATGAGCCAAATCCAAGAAGTGAGTGATGATTGGCTCATGGTTGGGTACACACAACCGGTCATGCTTAYTGTAGCATCGGAAGAGAAGGCCCTTACATTCATGGAAATCAGGCTGACTACTAGGGTCAACCCGAATCTGCTGAAGGATGAGACTGAGTTCCGGATCCTTGGCAGTGTGCTCAATGAGTTCCTTTTGTAAGTCCTTGCGAAGATCGTAGGAACCCACTAGGCAAGTCATGTACTTAGGGTGGCGAGACAAAGCATCCGCAACACGATTATAACAGCCTTTCTTGTGTTTTAGTTCAAAATCATACACATCAATCTCATGCAGCCAGCGGGTCAGCGTAGTTGATGGGTTTATCTGTGTCTGAATCCACTTCAAAGTCTCATGATCGGAGAACACTTTGAAATGGCGACCCAAGAGGTAGTGTTTCCAATGGTCTAGTGCCTCTCTCAAGGCATAGAGCTCTCTCATGTAAGTGGAGACAGCTACCTTGTGGCTGGGCATGCGTTTGCTGTAGTATTCCAGCGGACGTAAACCATCACCATCATCTTGCTGCAGCACTGCACCAATCCCATACAAACTCGCATCCGTAGTTACTACGAATGTAAGCTTGGGATCTGCAATGCGGAGCACCGGATGACTCACCAAAGCCTCTTTCAATGCTTCAAAGGCTGTCGTGCATTCTTCATTCCATGCGTAGGACACATTCTTGCTTGTTAGTCTAGACAATGGACAGACAATGATAGAAAATTTAGGGACAAACTTACGGTAGTACGACGCAAGACCAAGAAAAGAACGCAACTCGCGGACATTCGCAGGTTGGGGCCACTTTTGGATTACCTCAACCTTGGTTGCCTCGGGCTCTAGGCCTGCAGCAGACAACCGATGTCCAAGGTATATGACGCTGTCCCTCCCAAACTCAGATTTCTCCAAGTTGAGATGGAGCTGCGCGTCCTTGAGGATTTGCATCACTTCCTCAAGGTGTCTCATGTGCTCCTCCATCGATTTGCTGAAGATCAGTATGTCATCCAGATAAACAACAACAAACCGGTTAATCTGATGGCGGAACACTTTGTCCATGAGACTTTGAAAGGTGGCTGGCGCATTCGTGAGACCGAAGGGCATGACGGTAAACTCGTACAGCCCATCGCGAGTTTTGAATGCGGTTTTGTGCTGGTCCGCAGGATCGACTTCGATCTGGTGGTAGCCAGACTTGAGATCGATCTTGCTGAAGACTTTGCACCCACCCGCAGCATCAAGCAAATCATCGATACGTGGCAAAGGATATGCATTCTTTCTCGTGATCCGATTCAACCCGCGATAGTCAATATACATCCGCAACTTACCTCCTTTCTTAGGGACAAACAGCACCGGTGCACCAAACTCCGACTCACTCGGCTTGATCCATCCCTTCCCAATCATTTCATCAATCTGCCTTCGCAACTCCTCCAATTCGCCTGAGCCCATTCGATAGACACAACCCTTTGGAGGAGTGCTACCTTCAATCAACTCGATCCTGTGTCGGACCGGACGCACGGGGACTCCATGTGGTTCGGCCAAGACGTCAGGAAATCGGTTGAGAAGGTTACGAGTTTCCGGTGGGATTTCCGGAGGGGGATTATCACTGTCAGGAGCAAGCATGTTAGTTTGTACAGGTGCACCAAAAACAACAGGATTAGAAGTAGAGTCATTTGGACTAGAGATGGACTTAGTAGAGGTAGAAGTACTTGCATCCGAGGTGGACACAGCATGCAGAGTAGCATTACTATGTACAGCAAAAATAGAAGGCACATGAGCAGGCCTAACAAAGGCTATATACAATTGCTCATCAGTTTTGCGCCTGCGCCACTTTTTGCAGAATTGCATTGCATTGAGAAAGGTCACTTGGGACTCGGGCGGCTCATCCAAGAGGACGGGACGCTCGATCCCCATGGCATCTTTGACCATGAATTGTGAGTCCTTCCACGTGGTTCTTTCACATTGGGCCTGCAACCAGCCCAAGCCAATAACCGCGTCGAAGGGACACTGCTCAAGGACATAGAAGTTCAATTCATGCGTGATTGTGCGATCAACGTCAAAGGTAGTGCGCATACCTTTGATTGCATGCGTGGAAGTGACAACCTCTTGGTTGCCCACTTGGGTCCGACAAGGATTCTGCAAAGTCACTTGCTTCATCCCCAAGCGTGCCTTACGAATGCCGTGCGGTGAGACGTAATTGGCGGTTGCACCACAATCAGCCAACGCACGGATGTAACGGCCATTAATGTAGAGTTTGAAGAAGATCAACTTCGTCCTCCCTTGCGCGCGTTCTTGCTTCATGTGAGCCCAGCGCGTCAACAGAGCATGAAAGTCAATCTCTTTCGAATCTATCAAGGCTCCTTGTATAGGATGTGTAACTTTTCAGCCTTGGAATCAGCATCAGATGGGGTTTCAAGAGAGGTTTGCTGAGTGGGATCAGAATCCAAAGAAGAATATGTACTTACATGTTCAGCCTCTCCATCAGTAGAGTGTGCTGATGACGCCTCTACCCCCGTTGCTGGTTTCCCTGCTGCAATCTGAAACAGTGTTGGACTGAATGTCCTGGTTTGGTGCAATGCAGACAAACTTCTCTCTTCACCCTGTTCTTCCACTCACTTTCACTAATTCGGAGATCTACCCATGGTTTTGTGGCAGGATCTTCCGGTTTTGGTGGAATCTTTGCTCCCTTGGGAAGAAGCATAGTGTTAGTGTTGTTCTTCATCGTGGTCCTCGGTCCCTTACTTTTGAAGGCAGTCTTTTTAAAGGCATTCATGGATTCATCATCATTTATACACTCAGACTCATGGGCTGAAAAAGAGCAAGATGCCCCGCAGTCTTGCTCTTGATCGTCATCAAGAGAAGATTCTTCTACGAGGGTCTCCTCGTCAGCCTCAAGCAGATCATGCACTGCAAAACGGTTGCTGCCTGGAAACCGTTTGCGGCCAGTGGCTTTTTTGCCACTTGATCCACCCGGGAGGTCTTGTGCCTCCAGCTTGACTAAGTCCCGCATGAGGGTAAGCCAATCTGTATATCCGCTGAGCCCGAGCCCTAGGCGATCTTTCATAGTAGAGGGGACCGTACCTTTTATCACATCCAAGCAAGATTGCGCAGTCATCTCCAGATCCGGAGTAGCAAAGAGTTTACTGACATACTGCTGCAGACTGTGCATGGTGTCGGTCCACTTGTTGTGCTTGAGCTTGTCAAGCTTGAGTCTTGCTTTAGCTGCAGCATGTGGATCAGCATATTGCTTGATCAAGAGATCCTCAAGTGTGGTAGTAGGCGTAGCCTTCAGCCATTTGTTCAAGTCTATTCTCTTATAGCCTGATTGGACAGCTTGGGTTTCTAGGAAACCCCGCACGACGGGCTCCACATTGGTCCCCAGGATAGATGACTGAGTGGACGGGGGTGTCCCCAATACATCAAAGTAGGACTGCATAGAGCTGATCCAAGACTCGACGTCGTCCTTTCCGTCATACTTGGACGGAATYTGCGCCACCTTCCTGTCGATGTAAGCAAAGTTACCGCCTGGCCCAGCCATTGTTGGGTCCGGGCCCGGGGCTGCAACAGTTCCAGAAGTCCCTGCACCACCACTTGCCGCTGCAGCAGCAGCGGGGTCTGGACTTGCTGCAGATCCGCTTTGGCTGTTAACCACACTCAAAGAAGAAGAAGAAGTAGAAGGAGAAGAAGTAGAAGGAGAAGAAGTAGACGTAGTCAGAGGGGCAAAACTGGACTGACACGCAACATTGGAGGCAGGATAGGTGAGTGAAGAGACGATTTGAGCCTGCTGCGAACTAGCAAACTGTTGCAGCTGATCGCGGTGCTGCTGCGCCATCTTGGCCATGTCTTCGCGCAACTCCTTGAGTTGCTTAAACACATGTGCGAGCTGGTCAGTATGGTCCTAAGCAACCCGGACCCCTGCTAAGGCTCTGAGGAGGGGAACTGTTTTCTCTTTTACCTCCTCATCAGTCTGAGCGGACACGGTGCTAAGGACGGCCTCGTGAGCCTGCACCTTATCCCTTCTCTCTCTCTCTTTCTCTTCCTCCTCCCTCTTCAAGGCTTTCTCGTAGAAGAACTTATACTGCGGTTTTTCTGCCTCAGGGGCAGCGTCCATCTGCAGTTTCCAATCTGCGGCAGATGCCATAATGGAGGATAAGGGTGTCAGTAAGACTCTCAAAACGGGTCCGTACTTCCTCTCAGCTTTGTGACAAACGCTCCTCTTCCCTCTCCTCACTCCCTCAAGAGCAACACTCAATAACTTCTCTCTTCTCTCTCTCTCTCTCGTTTGCGACCGTGTAGACGCAGGCATTAAAGAACCCAATGAAAGAAACAGCTTGAAATCATTCAGAAGAGAAGGTAGAACTCCTAGCCGGAGCGACAATTCATTTGGACTGGAGAGCAGTCAAAACAACAAAAAAAAGAAAAGATCAGAGAGATCTGATCCAGCCACACAGTCTGGACTGACTACGTATGGGGTCCTCCCAAGCCTAGCAAGCCTCAACGCCGTGAAAACACAACAAATCAGATTCAAGATGTACAGCAAAATGCAAGAGAGAATTGAGTGGTGTATAAGGTGCGAGTCAGGCGGCGGATTGTGCGGTAAAGTATGATAAAACGTCCCAGCGGAGATCCCCTCCGCAGCGAGTGTCCTGGTCCGAAAGCATAAAGTCCGTGTCCCAATCAGATAGAGCAAGGTAACTGACGTCGACAGATTTGGCCTGAGGGGCCCTTCTTGTTTGGGCCCGGTCCCACTGAGACCCAAATGGTCCCAGTGGAGTCAGAACCGGGTCCCAACCAACAAGAGTTCCACGGAGACCTACTCTGTCCCTACTTGAATTGAAAAACGAAATTTTGCCCCAGAAAGAACCTGTAGACTACCGCCGTTCGGAATGAAATAAACAAAGCATTGTAGAGAGATATCACATAGCAAACGAGATACTCCATTCATTCACTCATCAGGTGAGTAGGCAGTTCACACACCTCACACACAATCAAGACTATGGAGGATGGAAGAAGAACCCAGAGAAGCCCAACAGGCAGTCAATTCCATGCTCACACACATGGGCACCCTGGTGGCACGACACTTACCTGAGTGGCCGGGCTCTTGAGATGAAAAGAACTCACCCCCCTCTCACATAGTCCTCCTGACCCAATTAGCATCCTCTACACTAGTGTCCTATCATCTAGGAGGGTCAACATCTACCCCAAAGTACAAAGCCGGATCCCCCGTCAATGTTGAAGATCAAAGCAGCAACTTGCAGTCCGTAGGTGCAGATATGGCTGCCACCCTCAAGCTCGCCTACTTGAGAGGAGCCCTAAAGTCATTCCTTGTCTTCCCTGAAGTCCAGATTCACGTTGTAGGTGCCCTTCACTGTCGCCTCTCTCAAATTGCATCACGAAGTCCCACCTTGTGTCTCGCCACCATAAACATGCACTCAAACAACCTGGTCGGGTCTAGTGTCGACCCTACACGGCCCTGCCAGGTGGGAGCAACTTCCCTTTACCACGCTGCCCCACTTAACCCTAACTTCCAGCCCTAACCCTAAGTGGTAGCCCTTACCA